GATTGTGTCGGCCTACTACGTATATACCAAGGTTCTCGAACTTATCTATATATACCTCGATTTTTATGACTCGTATGACCTATCACATCCTTTGGCTGTCCTTACTTGCATCTAGGAACCCTTGTTCGTATTTCTATGCCAAGCAATGCCCCTTTCCGAGGGTTATGAACCTCTGGCAGCACATCGTCGTTGGCCAAAGACATATATTGCTGATTTGACTCCGATCTGGTCCTGAGTCGCCCCTGGAAAGGTAGAAAGAGTCTCCGATCTCCCAAAACACTCCGAAAAGAACCTCACTTTTCTCTATTTAGTGTCCCCGAGGCATGAACCTCGCGGCGGCAAATACTGCACCATCCAAAACTCAAAACCATGCCACGGACATCCACGGACAACACACATGTTACCAGGCACCGGGAAAAAACATGAAAGAACACTACCACCGTGCCCTACGGTGTTCCGCGCCGTCTAGCTGCTCCCGCTGCGGTGTCTTAGGTGACGCCCAGCTTCGGCTTCAAAGGGGAGTTCCGTTACCTGTCCCACTCGCCCATCATGACCTGGATCATTCAAGCGGCGGTGCTCTTCGCCTTACCGGCGCGCGGTTCGCGGAGCGCGGGAGCGCGGAGCGAGCGTTCGGGGGGGTGGAAGCACTCACCGCACGCCTGCCGGGCCGGAAGGAGCGGGTTGGTTTGGAGGTCGGTTTTTCGGCCAACAAGCGCGGAGCATGAAGATTCCATGCTAGAACGAGATGTTGAACCAGATGTTGAACGAGAAATCATGTGAATGAAATAGGTTCACATATGTGTGTGCTTTTTGTTTGGAACGGAGCATGTCCGGCCTCCTAGGATCCTGGATTGGGTCCAAACCTGTCCCAAGCGAGGATGAATGAGGATGAGAAAAGCTGACGGGTTGATGTTGACCTGGAAAGGTTTCCTCAACTTTAGCCACACCTCGCAGGCGACCGTGATGCGCTACATCGTGGAGTTTGCCATAGGGCCGCCCTCGACGATCTACCGGCGAGAGACCTGTCGCCACGTGGACTGCAGTGGGGACTGCGTGGTGAATGCGCTGTGGGTTCGAGTGAGGTTTTGGAGTGGACACAGGTGTGAAAAGGTGTCAAAGGGGTGAGCAGTGATCATCCAGTGGACTCTTGTGGTCACTGGAGGCTTGTGGGGTTCCCTCGTTCTCAACATGTTTGAATACCTGAGGGGGCTTTGCAAAAGCACCCGACACCCCGTGCGTGATTTACATCGTCCATACCCCACTTTGTAGAAAAAAACAGAGCTTGGAAACGTGGGCATTGGAACTCCTTACAACTAACATACATGGAAACTAGTATGAGCGGTCTCCTGACAAGGGCAGCATTTTGTGCAGCTTCAGCTCGTCCAAGGACCCTTCGACATCTATGACCATTTGCGGAAGACCCAGGCGAGCGAAGACCTGCAGATGTCGCCGTTTCTTTTCTGGGGCCATTGGTCTTGGGGACGCCAACACGAGAAGGGCTGTGAAAGGCTGCGACTGTGGGGGAGTGATTTAAAGGTTGGGGGCAGTTGATCTGGGCACATTTGGGCTGGAACATCGTGTAGGGCTGCAGCATGGACCGTCGAGCTTGGAGCAATTGAGCTATATCGTTTGGACCGTCAACAAGTGTTGTCGTGGAACATGTGGGTAAGAGCACCTTTCGTTTCCTGGCCATGCCCTCTACCAATGCAATGCCACTTGGGTTGACATGGCGGCACCCTCATCAGCCCGTAGGTTGACAGTGGTGGCGTAACCACAGTGATTTGATGTGATTTGTAGCTGTTTCAGAGGAAGTTGCCCTCCATCCAACAAACATGGAAGTGGAAAATGGCCCCTTGGAAGACTGACAACTGAATTCCTCTATGAACAGGCTGTAATTATTCCACTTCCATGATTGTGTCAGGGAGGGTATGCTAATAGACGTGGACATCCTTTCCACTATTCCACTTTTTGGACCGTGAAAAAACGGCATCTTTTTCCGGGGACTGTTCAGACACTCCCATCAGAGGGCACTGATTTGCAAGAGGATTTCAATTTCTGCTTTGCACACTGTTTGATAGATGTCGTCCATTGTTTTTTCCCTTATGGGCAAAGAACAAGCCATCCGCGCCCCGACTTGGCGTCGAAGATGGCCCACCCGACCGGGCCGTCGCGCATGACAAGTCTCGGGGCAGGCGCGCATGCTGATCTCACATTCCTGCTACCACAGCATGGCCAAGGATGGCCCCATGAGTATGGCATCTTGGTGAAGAAACAATGGGACGATGGGTCAGATCACGAAAGGTAGCTTGAGCTACCAGAGTTCTCCTTGCTTTAGCAAAAATGTATTACAATCAGGAGTTGGGATTGTGCATTGAATTTGGTCCTGTAAGAGTTGATTCTGTTCGTCGGGGGGGCCCCCCCCTCCCTGGATCAAATCCCCCCTGCGCCGGTTCACGCCGTCATGGACTTCTACCAGGGTTACTTGTGATTGCCTGCTACCTTTCGTTCACCCCCTCCTCTCTCAAGTGAGAATGAGATGCATGACATGAGAATGACATGAATCATGAAGATGTTTGGGGTCCGTGGTGGACGCGTGGACGCTGATGTCTTGTAGATGAGGATGGAAGCGGTTGAGCGCTATGTCAGGATGTGTCAGTGAGATTAGTGTTTTTGGGGTTTGAGTCATAGTCATAAGATGATATAAGTTGGCCTTTTACTATTGGTTGCTTGTCAGAAACTTGGATAGTCCGATTCAGAAACTAGGCTGAAGGCCCGAGTCAGAAACTCGCCCGATGCAGAAGCTACAGGGGGTCTCTGGGTGGGGTGAGGTACTGTGTTGACGTTCCTTCGAACCCGTTGCGTCCCTCGTTTCCGAATCCATGTCCTCCCGTTGGCTTCCGAATCCGCCGTTGACCTTTCCCGCTTCTCTCATGCTCAGGACAGTTTGTATGGATATTTGGAGGACCACTTTTCGTTTCTCAGGGGGTCAGGCTGAGTTCGGTGAGGCCAAGGTCCAAGACCGGTGATATCCACATGACGCACATGGAGATCTAACAACATCTTTTGTTGACTTGATCTCAGGCTCTAATGACTCTCTTAACTCTTATATAACTGTTTCTAATCTTAGCGGCGGCAATTGTGCACAGTGTTTGCGAATGTACGTTCTATCCCTTTGGTGCGGTAGCTTCTCAAAGCTTGACAAAAGAGCACACCTCCAGCTTGAAGATGCTGGAGTTGGGTATGTCTTCATGGAAACCCCGACCGCCTCGTCCGGAGATCCGCTGGTGAGCTCTACGTACCTCGTCCCTTCGTCCCTTCGTCCGTCGCAGGAGCTCTACGCCCGGCAGATCAAAGCTGGTGCCCCGGCCCCGTGAGTTGGGACGTCTACATGGTTTGGGTGAAATGACACAGGAGTTGTGAAAAGTACCAAATGTTTGTGGCTAAGTCATGAGCTTTGGGATGTCCGTAACTCCTATGTCCCATGGTTCGCTGAAAGATCCATGGTTGCCTCAGTCGGTCCCAGAATCGGACCGAAGCTTCGACCGGCTGGGGGAGAGATGAACTCCTGCACTTGAGACAGAGCGTGGCAGGTACTGTACAAGCAGACGAACTGAACTTGCTGTGGCGAGCGACTCTCACAGGCGCCTGTGTTTGTTGGGATGATTTGGGTGAAGATGTACCCGCCATCCGCCCCCACACGGTGAAGCTAGTAGCAAAGAGCATAGCAAGATTAGCAAGGACGCTACTAGTTGCAAAGGGCGTTGCTACTAGGAGCCAGGACGGTACTAGGGGCTCCTGGCCTTACTACTAGGAGCAAGGACGCTACTAGGAGCTCCTGGCTTAACCGGTTACCAGCCAGGCGGTATACAGGGTCATGCTCCGAAAACCGTTAGTATGGGACAGCACCGTGGATCAACAATTGGTATGACATGGTATTGCCGCATGACGTTACACAAATGGAAGCATGGAGGTTTTGTGGACCCGATCTTGCAATGGTCTTTTTTCTCCCCGAAATGGGTGATTCTCAAGCTTCGAGGCGTCGCGTGCTCGGCGGAGCACGGAGAAGTATACGGAGATGCTTTGAGACCTGACATGCTTTGGTTTCTTTCTTTTTAAACCCTGCCTCCAACAAGCATGGAAGTGGAACATGGCCTCTTGGAAGACTGCTTTCCTCCACAAACCGGCGGTTTTCCACTTCACTTCCATGATTGGTTCAGGGAGGGTAAACCTTGGATGTGAGGCCCTTCCCCCATCACTTCCACTTTTGGAGAAATTCCTTTTGGGCGAAGCTCGTGAATCAGAGCTGGCGCTGGCCATATCCATCGGCATCCACTAATTAGTGACTGTGCTGCTGGGCACTTGTTCTTGATGGCGAGCTGGGCCTTGTTGACCTGTCAAAAGCCACCAGTTTGCAGGCTTTGACGCAGATGAGTCGGGCAAGGCAGGTCGGAGCTTGGAGGGTGCCATACGGTATGGAGCTCTGTTTCAGAGCACTAGAGATTCAGTCTTCCAATTTGAATGGTAATCATTAGACATCATAATATCCAGTTAGTCGTGAAGAATTTCAAGTCGAAGTCCAACTTTTGAGTAGTTAGCCCTTTGGATCATGAACAGGAGATGGTGTTGTCAACCGGTTTGGTCTGACCATGTTTGACCGAGACTGTAGCTTCAGCAAAGCACTTCGGGAACGGCTGGAACTGTCACTGGCTCCTGCTGCTATTGTTGGAGCCTGGATGAGATGTAGGCATGCCACATGAACCCGCCCACTTGCTGCACCATCATGATAGATTATAGATGATTATAGGATATTATAGGTCCTTGGCGAAGATGATGTAGGACTTTTATGCCTTTTGTATCCTTTTGTCCTGTTTCGGGGTCGGCTGCCACGCACATAGGAGGCCATGGGATGGGGGTTTCCTCCCCCTCTGTCGGGGGAGGATGGCCAATGGAGTCACGGGAAGTTGTGAACGTTGTGGAATCGTGCCCCGCGGAAGGATATGCTCCAGGTACATGTGTCGTGAAAGTCCTGAAGTGCGTGTGTTGTTCACCTTTTAGCACACACACAATCACACACAGATATAGTCGATTGGGAGTAGATGGCACGAACCCCTAAGATGTCATTTTAGATGGGGGTTATCAACCACCGACATTGGGGATTGCGCCATCTACTCTCAACCCCAAGCAAGCCACGCCGTGGCACCACAGTGCTCCCGCCTCGCACCCGACGTGGACATGGCCCGTTTGGGGCGAAAGGTCGAAGGCGAACAGACGCCTGCCTGGACAGGTTGGACATTTTTCTACATCCAACAGGTATCCATTCTCCCTACAGTCCCCTTAGGTCCTTTTTAGGTGTACTGCATGACTGGCTCGGATGTTTTGGGTCCATTTGCAGCGCAAGCACGCGCAGGTCTCCCTTCAAGAGTTCGTGCAAGCGGCCTCCCTCATTGACGACTTACATATCGACCCTTGGCTGTTCCAACTCTTCGGCACAGACCGCAGATCTTCCTGGAGGAAGCCGGGAAGAGTTGCCCAAGCCTCAAAGATTGGAGTCAGGATCGATGGACGCATGGCGCGGAGAGTTTTATGATGTAAAACACGTGGTGCATTTTCACATGGTTTTCATTACTCAAGAACCCTCTCACGACATGACATGAGACTTCCGGAGCAAAAACCAAGTTGCTCCCCCCATGAAACAGTAAGGCTTTCAGGTGTACCTGAAGGTACCGTACCGGTGTGGCGTGTCAGCGCACACGCGTGCCGCGGCGTGTGCCGAACCTGGAGAGACCCGATCCGGAGAGACAACCAAAGACGGTCGACACCAAGGACATAGTGGACACCAACCCAGAGCATCGATGGAACTGAAGGGAACATGAGGGAACTATAGGGAACTTGTAAATCGTTTGCGGGTCATCAATGGGGTACATGTATGTATATTACTATATAATTGTATTCCATACATGGAGTGTTTGGACAACTACGGCTTTGCTGCTGTTGTGCGCTGATTTTGAGTCAAATGATTTCTTACCTGTTGACCCTGTGTATATAGATTCTCAGTGTATAGATACGGTATGGACGCCTGGTTCATGCAACAAAGATGAACCAAGTACGACTGGAGAACCCTTCCCGAACCTTTTGTCCTTCAACCGTGTTTCTGAGGAAGATATTGTACACTTTGTGGTGGCCTGGCAGCACTTGCGGGTGGCCTGCTGGCCAACTCGTGATTTGCGATGATTTGCCCCAACACCTTGGCGCGTGCCTCAATGCAAGTCCTGCTGTTGGAAGAAATCTTGAGCATGCCCCATGACTGCCATGGCTGGGATTTGTACAGTGCAGCATCATTTTTTGGGCTTTGTAGAGAATCAGTGAGTGGATCGCCTGTGGTTGGGTATAGCGTAAATGAGGAGATGAGGGAGTATGAGTGCTGTCCCAACTACAGGAGTGTCGGAATTGCCAGGTGCCTTGCCCAAGCCAGTACCAGCCGGTACTGGTACCGCACAAACCAAAGAACCAGAAGCAAAGGCTTGTTCCAATAAGGGAATTGAGATCCTTTCCACAACAAGGTGTTGTGTGTGGGGGGGGAACATCTGGTTCTAAGTTCTTGGGGTTTCCAGGTATTCGGTACTACAGCACTTGGGCCCTCTGACAGCAAGCTCCGACAGCAAGCTCCGACAGCATCCTCTCAGCTCCCAGCTACTCGCCAGGACAAGGATCGCAATATTGGCATGGTGGAGAAGCTGTTAGATAGCACCAGGCGGATGGGGGGGGGTCAGAGCTGTAGCAGTTGGTTCTTTGTTCATTTTTGGTGGTGGGGTGAAGGACCTGCGCCTGCGAAGGCGGGCGAGGTGGTTTTCTGGGTGCAGGTCGCACATCACTTGTGCGACCTGTTTGCGTGCCCTATATACAAGTGATGATGCCTGTGCATAATCCAGAAAAACAGAACACATAGGAAAGCAATGGAACATCAAGCATAAAGAGGCGCAATGTAGGAAACCAATTGACTTCAAGACTTCCAAACTCCAAGTGCAAGTGGCAACGAGTGCTTGCACCTCAACACCGGCCGTTGACGTTTGATGTGCTACACTTCAGTATACTTCTGAGTACTCTGACCCTGGAACTCACATGGTTTTGTGATGTTTTGTGGATGGCACCCCCTGTTTCTTCGGAACACTCATCCGTTGTTCTCAGGGCGAGACCATCCACGTCGACAAAACCGGGCACCCGAAAGCTCGAAGATCGCCCGAAAGGCGTTCCCCCCCACACCCCCAAGGGTTCACTATGCTAGAAAGAGCGGAATGGGAGATCTTGCAGTGATTCCATCCAATCAACTCGCCATTTTTTCCGCAGCCGGTCCGAATTCCTGGGCTAGTTCAACAAACCGCTTCAGCTATGCAAAGATGCCCGAGATTCGAACATGAAGTCTGATCTTTTCTGCTCAGTATCCTCAAGGGAACGGTTCATTGCGAACATATCGCACTGGAACCAGGTTCCTTTTCGCCTTTGTCTTGTGCGACTTTTCTATTTACTCGAGAACGCTGGGCGTACGCTCAGGTCCGTCGTCTCGGCTGGATTGGGTCGTATACAAAACCGGGGCAAGGACCAACCCATGACCCCCGCTGACACAATCCATGGAAGTGGAACATGGCCCCTGGCAAGACAATTTTTACTCTACCAGCAGGGCATTGTCCACTTCCATGTTTGTTTCAGGAAGGGTAAACCAAAGAATGTCATGGTCATAACTCACTTTGCTTATTTTTGCTTGTCACTGGTCCGCTTCAACTTCAGGCATTCACTGAATGTTGGGATGCTGCGATGCGATCTGAGGCATCAGCTGCTGAAGAAAAAATCAGTGATCCAACCCATGAAGTCAGTAGCAACTTGGGCGAAAGCTGATAGCTGGGGTGTTTGGCGCCATGCGTAGCCCCACATCCGCCGGTGTGAGTGAAGCGGGTCACCGGCACCAAATTGACCAGATCCTGGAAGAATGTTTGGACTAGAAGATCAGCTCAAGAGTGACAGAACTGGTTTGACTGATCACATGTTCAACAAGAGTAGTGGCTGGTCTACCGAGAGTTCAATCCTGCCCTTGTAAGCAGCCAGCACACGATTGCCTTTTTGAACGCCATTATAGGATTTTATATAGCCTCAGGCACAGCAATGAAGGGCAGATTGTGTTTCCTCAGAGCCTGGGCGCCGGCAACTCTTCTTTCGGGTCAACCCGCCGGGAATCCGGGTGCGAACGTGTTAAAGGAATGGCGTTGCAACGTCGAATGCACAGAGCATCGATTTCAAGGATTTCAAGGTTTGTAGCCTCTTTGGTGGCTGGGAGCTTCCACCTTCCCGACCGACCTGTTCTTGTATGATGTTGTATTATGTCCTACCCAGGGAAAAGTGGATAGCCTTTAACATCCTTGAGCCTTTTTTGGGGGATTTGGTCTCCCCACGAAACGAACAGGTGGAAAAAGCTTCAGGAAACGGCTCGTTCGGGGTTCGGAGCCGCTCCGGGCTCAGAAGGCCCAAGGGTTCCCACATGGTACCACCATCCTATATGGCCCATATTGAATTGATCAGATTAGATTTAGTAAAGCACTCACTATCATGCACTCCTTGAATAATGTTGAATCACCCTGCACGATTGTCCGGGCGGACACTCCCGAAGCTCATCCTGAAGCTCAGAGAAGACAAAAATCAGGGGAGACTGTTGGGTCAACTCGTAGCGATTGTCAACTTTTTTCTTCAAGAGAATGGTTTCGATTGGGATGAGTTGGGCCAGTGCCCTTCTGGATGCTCTATTTCTCGGGCCGAAACACCAGGATCACCTGGTAGATGGACGGGTCCTGCGTGTGGACCAGAGGTAAGGTTGATCCTTGGACAATGTCAAGACATCACCTACATGGCAGTTGGTAAACCCGGAGCTCAAAACCCTGGTGATTACGTTGACCTCCTTGCTGATATTCTGATCTATTCTGTCCATTGCCGGTGGTCAAGCATACAAAAGGCTTGGGTGAGGTGGGCCACTCCTCCCTTCCCGACCGTCGTTCTTCCAGTCCGCTTGTCGCTACAAGCGGGACAAGGCACACATACCAACAGCCGGGCATCGGTCATGTAGACTGTGGGCTGTTGGTGAATAAATCCTCCATACGAAAAGGTTCTTCAATCCAAGTCGGAGGTCCTATGAATCAAGAGCCTGCATCCAGGATTCAAAGCCTGGTCTATTTGGGAGGCACACCAATTCACGCACAAGCTAGGCGCATCAACCGTGCCATCACATTCGCCGCGGTCCTCGGCACTAGGAAGTCTTGGGCGGAGACGACCAGACACCTGCCTCTCCGTCGCCTGAGCCACCGCAGCCGGCCACGGAGCCGCCCAACACGGTGACTGATAGGCGAAGTTCAAGTCCACGAGATTTGGACTAAGAAATGGGTCCGATGGACGCTGAACTGTAAACACCCATGGACAGCTGCTATGCTACACATCTTTACGAGAATTGGTTCCCAGATGTTCCCAGTAAACATGTGAAGACCCATCGAAAGCTGCCATGATGGCATGCTCATTTGGAGCCAGATGTCGCAGGCGCGCGAAGGGCATGGACGGTGGTATCGCGGATTCGTTTTTGAAAGACTGATGTTCTGGGAGAAGACTTCAGGGGTTTAGTATGGTTTAGTTTATAGTGCCTTTCTTGTCTTCAAAAATCATGTCCTTTTGAGCTTTGAGGTTATTCGCGGGAGTTGAGCCAGCTGCGCCAAGTAGTTCAAAAGCTATGTTGAAAGCGACCCTTACAAGATCAAATGAGATGAGACTCGTTTGACTCAATGACTTCGAATCGTGTTTCCACGGAACGGCCATCCAAGTAGCCGTCATGGACACTGCAGCCTCAGGCTCCTCGTGGCTCCTCCTATTTCAGGCACTTCAACCCCTCAATGCATTCGGGCCGGCACTGCAAGCCGGCTTAGGATTTGTTGCATGTCTACGCTTAGGATTGGTTTTTCATTTGTTCAGTTGACTGGTTTTGCTTGGGGTTACTTTTTTTCCCCTTCTGGAGAAGAACGATGAGCTAATCATGCTAATCCAAGGTTGTCACGGTTTGTTGTCACGACTCACTGGCTCCTGGCCTCCACATGCAGCGAAAGATGCTTCGCATCGCCATGCGGCACGGACGTGCCCATGGGCACGGACGTGCGGCGCGATCGCCAGATCGATCGCGCTGGCCGGGAGTTTGTATTCTAAATTTGCAGACGCTTCCAAGACCACGAGATGTTTCATTTGCTTACTTCCTCCTAGGATCCGGGAAGGTAAGAGCACTGCAACTTACAGTAGAAGTAAATTTATGACCCAAATTGAGTATGCAACACAGGTGAAAGCACGAAAGAACGAATCTTGGAAATGCGAGCTGTTGGGCCCCTGTTGGGCCGAATGGGGCGCCGAATGCCAAGAGAAGCATTCACCATTTGGGTCATTTGGGACATGGATCGAGGGCGCAGATTTGTGGGGGTCACGCATGTAACATGTTTCGGCTGCAGCAGAACCTGCTGTCACGGTGGCATCATGGCCTGATAGTGGCCAACTACCTGCAACTGCCATGTTTTCTACTGTGTCTCTTGACTGCGTTCTGAGACCATCGCATATATCAGGAGGTGGATGAGGGCGCAGATCAATGTCCCAGATGATGCTGACTGAAACGCATCCCGAATGGGATACGTTAGGATTTCTAGGGGTTACAATCGGGCTGGCTATCAGACCCGTAGCTGATCGTAGCTGAGCGGACTGTCAGACCTTCGATTCTTCCCCTGCACAAGCCACCCCTTTGTGACCCCAGCTTCTTATTCGAATCGCTCATTCTCACACCTGTTTCGGCGGGCATCGCATGGGGTTTCTTGCAAATTGCGTGAGTTCCCAACCGTGGATGGCCGCTTTTCCAAAATGCTGTGGAAGATGCAGGAGGTTGTTTGGGCCTAGAGTGCCTTGAAAGTAGATGGTAAATGACAGAACTCACCCCCAGAAACATGGTTGGAACATTTGACAGACAATGACAGACATGTTACTGTACATGATTGTAAGTTGTGTACATGTTGTGCAAGTGTTTGTGTTTTGTTTTGGGGCAGGACAAGGTCAAAAAGACAAGTAGCCCGACGTTTTTCGAGTGGAGTCAACTAAAATCAAGTGGTCAACAGGTATAGTTGACTGATGTTGGTTGACTGTTGTTGATGGTGCCCGGCAGGTGGACCTTTTTAACCAGTTTCACCTCATACTACGCTGACGCTTACTATATACAAGAGTCTTGACACTCAAAATCTCAAAATGTCTTAATTGAGACTTCTCAAGATGCGATTCAATGCGCAACGGACCACGGACATCTGTGGACTATGGACGTTTGAACCTTGCTTTGCATGTGCACGGTTTCGGCCGGTGTTCGGCGCAGCTTCTTGCCACCGACTTGGACAACCCCCCACAGGGACCGAGCCGAAACCGCAAGAGATTCGACCGGAAGCCGAAAAATCAGGACCCCCCGGTCGAACAGTAACATGGACCCGGGTTCAACCAGTCTTCGAGGTTCGTTTTCGAGAGGTTTCGGACCATGTGACCGGTGGTCCATGAAGCTCGCCACGGCCGAGGTCTGGGTGTGCGGACACCTAGGCGGACCGTGATGACCGGACGCCAGGAGTGGATCAAAACACCCCAAGCTTTTGAGGTTCTCCACTAAGCTAGAAGAGGCCCAAAATTTGGTTCACCTTGGTGTTCCAGGGAGGAAAAATGGATAAGTTAAGGTTTAACCTTTTTGGGAGAGACCTGTTTTTTCCGCAATTCAACAGGTGGAAGAATACATCTTTTTCCAGGGAAACGGGTCTGGTCACATAAGGCATGTGCAGTGCACATCGCTGGGAGCTTTGGGTCCGTCCCATCGGCGGTCCGATGGGTGGACCAGTTGAGAAGTCATCCGATGAGCCCAGATAGGCCCAGGAATGGCGAAGCGTGCAGCGGGTGGTGAACAAGAAGGGAGAGATCACTGTATATATATACGACGCGTGTCCATGTGCATAGTATGTCGTAAATGCGCACTTAATCCAATCATTTGGATCAGGTTCACGATGCTGGTAGACATTTGTATAAAATTGTTTGGGACTACTACTGTGAGGTTGAAGAAGCAGGACCTTGTGGGGATTTTTGGGCCAAGACCACAACTTAAAACAATTCACTCCTGCTGAGTGTCCAAAATATCAGGATGCTAAACTCGGCCAGAAAAAGTCGAGCGCCATTCCTAGACTTCTCACCACCAAACTCACCGAGCCTTGGATTCGCAAGGCATTTGGTCCACCGAGCCTCGGCCTCGCTCTGCAAAGGTCTATGAGCCAGGGACCTTTGTGCCCGGCAGCCCCGGTGATGAATGATACCACAGACATCACAGACTATAGATGGAAAGCCAACAGGATTGTGCTCTACCCCGACCCATTGGCTGGCCGCATTCCTTTTGAACCTGAGAGCTACCGAAAGTGTGCCCCTTCTGGAACCGTAAAAGAATCGTTAACAATTTGTGACAGAGGCACCACCATCATTGCACTTTCTACAGGGTGTGAAGGGCAGAGTCCAACATATATACATATAATATTATATATAAGAAATTGGTGTATAATTAAGTGTGTATACAGATATATGTACATATGGAGAGAGATAGAATCCAATCTAATCCAAGATCTAGGGTTACCACTCAGGTCATTGTATGCTTTTGGGCGTGCATATGTTCGGCCAGTGAACCAGTCAACATCCGTTCACCACCAAAAGTCACCAAGAGTCATAAGGAGTGCCGAACTTGGAGGAAGTCGGGGTGCCCCAGAACACATCCACTGGATAGGACTGAAGGAACCCACCCAACTCCATGTGACTCTTGGCAGTTACTTCTTTATCATTAGGCTTCCCAGAGTTGGTGGTGTAATTGGGACACTTACAGAAGTTCTTCCCAGGCCATCCCTCAATTTGTTCCCCCCCAAACAGCTGAACCAACGCTCCTGAGGTTCCGAACGCTCCTGGCCCGAGTGGCTGGACCAAGTGCCCGAACGTCCGCCAGCTCAGCATCAGAAGCACGGGGATTTGTTGCGGACACACACTTTCTAATCGATCAAATCGTGGAGTGTTGATGCTGATGATCATGATATATCTGAAAAGGCAGCCATGCCCAGTTCATCCCAGTTCCCACTTGTGGCTGTGTGAATTCGGGATGCCACCGTAGACGTTGAATGACCCTCCCAATGGGCCGCCAAGACGGTCGGAGTGCTGACGGTCGTGGTCAACGGATGGATCGGCGGTGTTTGGGTAGGTGCGGGCTGAAAGCTGAAAAACCCGAGATTCAATGGTAGATATAGTGATCCCCAAATGGGATAGAAACAGCGTCCAGAAGCTTTTTTAGTGGGGATCTACTTCTCTATCTATTTGGGGGTCTATATGCATACAATGATTTATCATATGTTGACCAGCAGATAGAATATGCAACTATAAGTTAGGCATAGCCGAGATAGAATACACGATTTTGACATATATGAGATTCGGTGGAATTCAGAGTGGAGATGGAATATGCTTGTTGAAGTTGGACTGAACGGCCCCCTGCTTATTCCAGGGTTCTGTTTTGGAGGTGTGCACCTCAAAAACTGTTCAGCTATTTTCAACTTTATTGTTGCCATCTTAAGAACTATTTCATACTATTTCCAGTATATAAGGTGAGATAAGGCGCCTGCTGAATAAGCAGGATGTGCTGCACAAGCGCTGCCTTATCTGATCTTACTTAACTTTGGGCTTTACACCAAAATGATTGCACAGAATTGAAAAGTAAGACGATTGAAATACACCATTAAGGACGGAAGCTGTCAGCACAAATTGACCCGCTCATTCTTTGCTGCTTTGCTGCTTCACTGCTCTGAGGGTTTGCTCGACTCCTGCCCTCTGCTCCTGCTGCGGTGCCTTTGCTATTAGGTTGGAGGCCATTGCCATTAGGTTGGAGGCCATTGCTATTAGGTTGGATATGTTGTTTTTCAATGTTTTTCACCCAGTCGCCACTGGCACACTTAGTACTCACGACACCACAAATTCTGGTTGCACATCGCTCCTGGATCCTGGATATACTTTGTTTTTGCATTCTAACCCTGTAAATATTTTTTTGAGTTCTAACTGCTAGTCTGGTTTTAGAAATAGATATCAAGAAGTATATCAAGATCCAGCTGCTCCATGACTCTGTCTCACCTCTCCTTGTTGATGCTGCGATGTCGCAATCAATTTACGAGACGACGGTGATATGGACATCTCATGTAAACTAGACTGCTGCTGGGGTTCATCTATAGTTTTGATCCGGACCATGCCTCTCAGGTCTTGACAGACACAGACCTTAACTAGAACATAATGACTAGAACTGCTTTGTCCGTTCTCCCAATGT